AACAGGCACATGAAAAGATACTCCACATCGCTAATCATCAGAGAAATGCAAATTAAAACCACAATGAGATATCACCTCACACCTGCAAGGATCACCAGCATCCAAAAGACAAACAACAACAAATGTTGGCGAGGTTGTGGAGAAAGGGGCACCCTCCTACACTGCTGGTCGAAATGTAAAATAGTTCAACCATTGTGGAAAGCAGTATGGAGGTTCCACAGAATGCTCAAAATAGAAATACCATTTCACCCAGGAATTCCACTTCTCGGAATTTACCCTAAGAATGCAGCACTCCAGTTTGAAAAAGACAGATGCACCCCTATGTTTATTGCTGCATTATTTACAATAGCCAAGATATGGAAGCAACCTAAATGTCCATCAGTAGATGAATGGATAAAGAAGAGGTGGTACATAAACACAATGGAATATTACGCAGCCATAAGAAAAAAAGATCCTACCATTCACAACAACATGGATGGAGTTAGAGGGTATTATGCTCAGTGAAATAAACCAGGTGGAGCAGGACAAGTACCAAATGATTTCACTCATATGTGGAGTATAAGAACAAAGGAATACTGAAGGAACAAAACAGCGGCAGAACCACAGAACCCAAGAATGGACTAATAGTTATCAAAGGGAATGGGACTGGGGACGATGGGTGGGAAGGGAGGGATAAGGGCAGGGAAAAAGAAAGAGGACATTACGATTAGCATGTATAGTGCGTGGGGGCACGGGGAGGGCTGTGCAACACAGAATACAAGTAGTGATTTTACAGCATCTTACTACACAGGTGGACAGTGACTGTGAAGGGGTACGTGGGGGGGACTTGGTGAAGGGGGGAACCTTGTAAACATAATGTTCTTTCTGTAATTGTAGATTAATGATACCAAAATAAAATAAAGTAAAATAAAAATGGAAAAAAAACGAATTCCATTAAATTTATCTAGTGTATCTCTACAAACCTGTAATATCCTTTATTTAGGTTTTTAAAAATATCCCTAATTAATACTTTATTGTTTTCTTGTTAAAGTATTACATATTTCTTGTTATGTGTCATCTTAGATATTTGTTGGTATTCTTTTTTTCCTATTGTGTTTTCTCAGTGGCTATTGCTAGTATATTCTTTAAATGGGTTTTCCTGAGACTTGTTATGGAAAAAGATTCTTCAGTCATAGCTTAGTAATGCTTTACTATTATCTTACAGAAGGCTCAAATAAACAATAACATGATAGAATGAAGGTTTTTGGATTATAACACAGGTACTCTTAAGGTTATGAGGTTGTTGGCTTTATTAAATTCCTAATTTTAATCCTCATCTAGATTTTTTTAATCTTCTCTTACTGCCTTTTTTTTTTTAAACCTCCGTACCCTTTGTCTCGTGTATTCATGTCTTCCAATTAAGATAATGCGTAAGATGTTCACATTTCAGGATTATGAGATTTAGGGTGACTGTCATCATTGTTATTCTGTTGTATGGGATATGACATATGTATTGAATGTGAGTATTCCCTAGGTTAATAATGTGTAGAATTGTAAAATTGAGTATTTTGAACAAATTTGTGTAGTTAGCTTGATGTTTTTCAATAATGGAGACTTTGGTGCTCAAATTATTTCTTTTCAAGTGTAAACACTCATTAGTTACACAGTAGACATTCACAGAATCTTATCAGTGCTTAGTTTGTTATGGGGAAAAAATGATGCCACTGAATGTTAATGATTGAAGAATTCCCTCCCCTCCAATGTTGTAAACATTCTCAACTTATGACAGTATTTATTTTTACGTTAGCTCTGTTGAGGTACAATTTATATAAAGTTCATGTGCTTTTCAGTGTACAGTTTGGTGAATTTGTTTAATTTTATACAGTTGTAGAACCACTACCACAGTCAAGGTATAGAAGTTCCATCACTGAAAGAAGTTTCCTCAGTCCCTTTTGCAGATAAGCAGTTGACCTCTGGGCTGAAGCAGCTACCCCAGTACTTTCTTTCTTTTTTTTTTTAACGATTCATTGATTTTTAGTAATTGACAGAGTTGTGTACCCTTCACACAATTTAATTTTAGAACATTTCTGTCATCCCAGGAAGAAATGCCTGTCTTTTTAAAGTCACTCCCTCTTTCTACCTTCAGTCCTAGCAGCCACTAATCTATGTTGTGTCTCTAGATTTACCTTTTCTTGCAAATAGAAGCACTATGTGTTTTTCTCTGTCTTGACCCTTTCATTGGACATAAATTTTAGAGCATTTTCATGAAATCAGTTTTTTCTTTAAACAGGGAATGACTCTACTAATGATGGGGTCAGCAGATGCTCTTCCTGAGGAGCCCTCAGCTAAAACTGTCTTTGTAGAAGACATGACAGAAGAACAGCTAGCATCTGCTGTAAGGCACACCCCATTTTATATATTTGATCACTACTTTTCAGAAGTATAGTTACTAAGATATCTTTTGCAAGGTAGCATATATTTTGAAGATTTAGTTAATATTGAGAGTATGTTTTTAGCAGTAAGTAAAAGTTGTATTTTTGAAATTAGCTTAAGGAGGTTTATAATCAGATAATTCATTATAAAATCAGTTAATATCCATAATAAATTATGTGTTTGGCAGATAGCACTATTTTTAGTATTTACTGTTATATTATGGGAAGATAGGCTCAAAGAGGTACTAAGTGGTTTAAATGCCAGGATACTTAACTTCTTAAAACCTTCCAAGTTGAAAATACGTAAAATTTATCCTTAATTTAAATGTAATACTGCTTTAGAAACTGGCCAACACAAACTTATCAAATGTTATTTCTTCTACCACCCAGCGTCTGTTTTGTATGTTTGTTTTGTTTTGTTTTGTTGAAGGATTTCTATGTATTTTGCTACCCTGGTCTAATGATGAACCTGCAAAGGAGACAGGACTGATGTGATTGTTCTTTTTATTTTCAAGTAGAGAATTAAGATACAGAATAATTTTCAGCATGATGCAGGAAAATTTTTTATTGGAGAAATTAAATATTACTACTTTAGGGTGAAAGTGGAATATATAAATTGGTATGTTGGTAAATTGTACTTCAAAGTGAAATTTTAGTGATTTATATATGCTATGTTATCTTATAAAAATGATTTAATTTTTTTTCCTTATCAGATGGAGTTACCATGTGGATTGACAAACCTTGGTAACACTTGTTACATGAATGCCACAGTTCAGTGTATTCGTTCTGTGCCTGAACTCAAAGATGCCCTTAAGAGGTAAGACAAGAGAAATGTTATAAATCTTTTTTGGGTAAGGGAGATTTCACATGTGGGTGGGTAGTATTAGTGTGTGTGTGTGTGTGTGTGTAAATCATTGCCTAATGTATGTATATATATATTTTTAATAGTTTTATCGAGATACTCATTTATTGTACAGTTTACTCAGTTAAATGGTCTTTATTATATTCACAAGGTTATGCAACCAACCCACAGTCTAATTCTAGAATATTTTCCCCCCCGTATGGAACCTCATACTCATTAGCAGTCAATCCTTGCTTGTACCCCTCCCACGTCCACTGTAGGTAACATTAATCTATTTTCTATCTTGGATTTACCTGTTGTGAACATTCTATAAAAATGGAATCATACAATATGTGATCTTTTTGTGACTGGCTTCTTTTACTTACCATAATATTTTCTAGATTCATTCATGTTGTAGCATGTATCAGTGCTTCATTCTTATTTATGGTTGAATAATTTCCCATTGTGTGGATATAGCACATTTTGTTTAACCACTCATCAGTTGATAAACATTTAGATCGTTTCCTCTTTGTAGCTTTAAATGAATAATTGCTATGAATATTCACACATTTTTGTGCAGATTTTTGTTTCCATTTCTCTTAGTTATGAATGGGTTGCTTGGTCTTATGGTAACTCGTTGTCAAACAACATTTTGAGGAACTGCCACACTGTTTTCCAAAGTGGTTGCAGTATTTTACATTCTCACCAGTAATGTAAGAGTTTCAATTTTTCTACCTCTGTTCCAGTTTTGTTATCGTGTCTCTGATAATAGCTATCCAAAGGATGAAGCCGTATCTTGTGTGGTTCTTGTCTGCATTTATCTAATGACTAGTGATATTGAGCATCATTTTTTCATGTGCTTATTGGCCATTTGTACATTTTTGGAGAAATGTCTTTTTGAATCTTTTGCCTATGTTTTCAATGATTACTTTTTATTATTCAGTTGTAGTTAGTGTGCTTTATATATTCTGGATAAAAATCCCTTTTCAGATAGATAATTTGCAAATATTTTCTTCAGTTTAAAAAGTGTCTTTTTACTTTTTTGATGGTATTGTTTGTAGCATGGAGTTTTAAATTTTGGTGTAGTTCTCATTTTTCTTTTGTTGCCTTGTGTTTTTTTGTCATGTATGAGAAATCATTGCCTAATCTATGTCACAAAGAATTTACTCCTTTGTTGTTGTTTTTTTTTTTTGAGTTATATAGTTTTAGCTCTTACATTTAGGTCAATGAAACATTTTTAGTAAATTTTCATGTATAGTAGGAGATAGGTGTCCCATCCCATTTTTTGCATGTGGATATCCATTTCTTCCAGTACTGTTTGTTAAAAAGACTAATTTTTCCTGTTGAATTGTTTTAGGACCTTTGGTAAAAATCAGTTGCCCAAAATGTGTATCATAGGTAAAATTTAATTTTGGACTTTGAATTCTAGTCTAGAACTAAGTGCATTGATTTGTGTGCCTCTCCCATGCCAGTGAAAATGGTTTTAAAAAGAAATGGAACTATGTTTTTATATCACTATATAAAAGAAAAGAGAATAAATAATTACCCATGTTTTAAAAACCTGTGAAATAGTCTATAGTCTATAAGTGAGTCTTTAAATGTGTAACTTTAAAAAGGTAACTTAATTCTGACTAAATTTATTATAACTGTTTAGATACACAAATTACCAATTCTTAATATAAGATAGAATTCTAAACTGCAGCTTGGAATCTTAGACAGCTTTATGAATGTTGACTCTTTTTTACCCTTAGTGGCTTGTGAAATGCTTTGATAGAACTGAGCAGTAGAGAGGAGAGAGAAGGATTATGCAGAAACCTGAGAATAACTGAAGGTTTTCTAAATTTCTCTAAAGTGAATACCTCTAAGGTATTTATGTTGTCTAGTCAAACTGTCTAGATTGTAGCTAATGTATTATGAGTGAATAAAACACAGTACTTACCTCTAGGACTTAGAGTGTAATTGAGAAAGATTCTTAACTAAACAGCAATTTCAGACTGCTTTGATGGGAAAGGTTAAAATCAACTTTTTTTTCCTCAGAGATTAGTAAATTCTCTTATTTTAGTGTGCCCATGCTGGCAGATGTGAGGTCTAATATCAGTCTAGCTTCTTATCCTTTTTTGTTAATAACTTTTGTAGTTTTCTCTTTGTTTTCATTTTTCAAAGTTTTCCAACAGTGTAAGTGTGGGGGTTTCACTCATTTATCTTACGTATTGGTGAGTGGGCACTCTCAGTCTGAGAACTCTTGTTCTAAACTCTGAGATAGAACAACATTCTTGGCTATTATTTCTTCAGGTACTGCTTCTCCTCTTTTTACCTAGCTTTCTCTTATATTCTAAATATTAGAATTTCTGAATATCTTTTTCATGTCCCTTTTTGTTCCTCTGTACTTTTTATGTGTCATATTCTGGGAGAATGCCTCTATTCTGTTTTATGTTTTGCTGATTTATACATTAGCTTTGTTTCATAACTACTTGTTTATCACAACCTTCTGCTCTAAGCTTTTGGATATGACTCCTTTTATTTCTGAGACTCTGAATTTTAAGGTTTTTTTCTTGTTTGGTCCTTTTAACTCTGTTCTCTTTAAATAATGATAAGTCTTCCCTCATTTGTTTTGAGGATTGTGTACTCACCTTATGCAACATGATCTTTTTCTTATGTCTTGGTTGCAAATTATCCAAATGAGTACTTGCTGGGGCAGCTCCCTGTTACAGAGGGTGGCTGGTTGGGACAGACTTCCTTTCTCCCAAAATTTCCTCTTTACTTTTTTTGTCTGGGATACTTCATAAATGTTTATTCCAAGGAGAGCTCTCTGTCGTGTTTTGAAGTTACTTTTCTGAGTTTTGTATAAGCAGGGTTTTTATCTTTTGATTCTGTTTTCTTGAAACCAAATGAATTATTTTTTGAATTACAAGTTTTTGTAAGAGGGTGGAAGCCTTTGTACTTACTAACTTAAGTGGTACAAGATGACATGGATGGGGTTGTAGGTCTTTAGAAAAAATGGCACTGATAAGATAGGAATGAAAGAAAAGAGAAGAATTCCATGTAAGGTGTTTTGCAACTGGATATGCTGAAGATCATCATGAAGACTTAGATTTTTTTATTTGGCAGTTTCTAGAGAGCATAATGGTGGAGGCTAGAAAGAAAGTACAGCTGAGGGAAATAGACTGGATTAGGTGAAGAGGCAGTGAGGGCAGAGAATTGTAGCTATGGGTAAAATCTGGTTTGCTTGATGCTTCCCAACAGTGGAACCTCATTGTAATGTGGTAGTGAAAAATGTATATAATAAAAGTCACCCTTGGAAATTATGTAAGTTAGTTATTAAAGACAGTACCACACGGCCATATTTTTGTCTTACTGGAGACTGGCAAGCCATCTCTTCATAAGTACAATATAGATTTTTCATTAGCAATTGCTAGATTGTTGTTTTACTTTCCTTTTCAAATTCATATAAGAATGGTCTTTTCATAACAGACCTTATCATAAAATTGGCTGGACCCAACTTTTTTTTTCATTTTAAATGTGCATTTTCTGTTTCTTTTCGAGCCAATTTTGGTAATTTATGTTTTCCTATGAATTTGTCCTTATGTTTTTAAGCTGTTGTAGCATAAGAATTCTTCTATTTTTGGATCTTTTTTCCCCCATTTTCATTTCTTATATTTGGTTTTTACTCCTCAATTACCTTGCCTTAGGTTTGTGTATTTTACCTTACACAGAATCAGCTGTTCGATTTACTCACTCCATTCTTCAGTTGTGTGGTTCATCCTACCTTTGTATTAATTTCTTATTTTTGTTTTCCTTGTTTTATTGTTTTCTGACTTCTTAAGCTGCATATTTGGATCATTTATTTGTTCTTGTGTACTAATAAAAGTTTCTAATTCTGAGTTTTTGCTGTTGTTTACTAGTCATTAGAGGTGGCTGTTGAAATATTAAAAAAAAAAACACTATTTTTCCTTTTGGTCCAAAGGTTGCTTTTAATTATTGTAACATACAGAAAAGTGTACAAAAGAATTATCTCAAAACAAGCACTTCTATGTAACCAACAGAGATAAACAGAACCCTGTCACCACTCCAGAAATCCCCTCACTTGTCCCTTCCTAATCATTTCTGTGACCGTTCTTTCCAAGTTGTTAATATTAACCTGATTTTTAGCCTTGTAGATTAACTGCTTGTTTTGAACTCTTAATGAGTAGGAACAGAGATTGGGTGTATTTGGGTTTGGGACATTATTTTGGTTTATCTATGTTGTGTGTGAGTAGTTGTAGATTGTTCATGTTTACACTGCATAGTGTACCATTGTATGCATATACTAGCAAATAATTATCCATTTTTCTGTTGATCAGTGTTTTTGTTGATCTGATGGTATGACTAATTGATGTGACTTTCACAGATCATAGAAAAGTCAAGACATCATTTTTTTGTAGACAGTGAAGTATAATAGACATTAAGTTCAGAGTTACTCTCTTGGTCCTTGTGTCTGTAAAACCTCTCATTAGTTCTGTCAAATGATTCAGTATTGCTGTCAATTCCTCCTGTTTTCTAAGTTTTTCTTTGTAAACTTCATTGTCAATGTTCCTTTGCTTATTGGATGGTTTTATCTTAATTAGGAATTATGCGTATACTTAGTATAATATTGAGAGTTTTTGAGGATGGTATCAAATTATGATTTTCCTGTTCTGAGTTGCTTAGAAAAATTGATAATTAATTAGTGTAACTTTTGCAATAAATGTAGAAATAATTACCCATGTTACCCTATAATTAGACGTAAAATTCAGGAGAGCAGCAGTAATATAAAGCAGCAACTTTATTATTTTCCTTGCATAATTTATTTCTAGTTTCTTACCTTTGTGGTCTGAGAACCTGGTTGGCACAATTTCAATCTTTCGGAAGCTTTTTTTGTGGCCTAGTATGTGATCTATTCTGGAAAATGTTCCACGTGCACTTGAGAAGAATGTGTATCCTGCTCTTTTGACTGGAGT